AATAATTCTGAACAAGCGACAAGCAACAAACTTCCATTATTTTCAAAGGGGCCTAAGTAATGACCACTCTTTCAAACATTTTGGTAAAAATTTGCGAAAACTAAACCTGAACCGATATTTACGTTCGTGACATGTTATCTTTATAACTTTGACTTCCTGATTGTGATTTAGTTGTCAAATTTAAGTTTCAGATAAAACCAAAATCACCCAGAATCAAAATTCGAAAACAATTCCCGGCTGTTAAATGTCTTAATAAAATCCGAAAAAAAAATTATATCGTCGTTGCTAAGATTCCAATTCGAAAAACTTTAAAAACATTTCGAGGTAACACATAATACTTCATTATTTCAAAATAAAAACAAGAAAAAAATTATTTTTTTACAAACGGGGCTTGGATGAATTTATTGAAATTTTTCACCGTTTAACATTTCACCCTGTAGGAAATTTACTTGACGAACCGTGAGCTTCATATCTATAGCAAGAATTGCCAGAGGATGAGGCTAGCAGACATCACAGACCAATATAAAATCGTTCAAGAAACAAAAAAGTTATGTCGTTTTAAAAAAGAACAAACTTTTTGGTCGCGACAAATTGAGTGGTGCGCAGTTTATATTCCGGCGGTAAAAAAGCTCGTTCACGGTTTCGGCCCATTACTTCTTGGCCCACTGTGTTGCAGAAGACCTTAGGATGCCCAGGGGAATAGCGGTTATCTTTAAAAACAAGTTTGGACGGGTCGACGAGCTACGAAGGCAGAATCCCAAAGTTAGAGAGGTGCTTGAAATTGTGGATAATGAACAGAAGTATCTTCTATCTCGTACCGAAACAGCTCTCCCATCAGAAGCCAAACTACCGTGACATATGGAATGCCTTGAAAAAAATTGAGGGATACCCTTTTGTCCAGGGACATCATGGCGATACCGAAGATTGCTTGTGGACTTGACGGTTTAGACTGGAGAATAATTAGACGTATGTTGAAAGTTATCTTCCATACGGCATCCACATTCTTGTCTCTTGCACAACCCTAGAAAACCATCGAAATGAAGACTGCTACTTCTATTATAATAGGACGTCACAATGTAAGTTTGGATCGCTATGCAAATATCGCCATGGAGTAGAGGGACGAAAATATTTTAAGACGGGGGCAATGTATCGAGTACCACTCTGGATCTCGCAATGTCCTTGGTGACTCATCGCCGATGAGTCACCGCCGGTGAATTAACGCTCGAGCGATCGAGAGCGGTGTGGAGCTCGCTGGAATGTTCGGGAAGATGCTTGCGTGATGTCGGTCACGTACGCACTGTATATATAAAGCATAGCAGAGCATCGAGGAGTTAGTCAAGCTTTGGTATTGGCGACGAAATAAATTAAATATACGTGCAAATAAGTAGACTGTTTCACAGTAGTGATATATAAATAATTAGTAGTTAATCAAGTACTCAGTCCAGCGATTCATCACTCAAAATTCCGTTTCAAATAATACATGCATTCATGAATATTCGGGTAAATCACTTGCAGCTTGCATCACTCACAATAAAATTCGAACACTTGTTTCGGTGTCGCCACAGAACATAAGTGTCGCTAATGAATCAGGAGGCAAGAAAGAATAAATAAAGATTCACGAGGTCCGTTCGAAACAGGTCATCTCAGACGACATTTTGGGTGTTTAAATTTAAACCATAGGAATTTGGCATTGTGCACCTTTTCGTTTATGTGCTTTTAACAAAAACGTATGTCCACTTAAAACGTAACGACTTAAAATGAAACAGAATATCTCTCAGTGCTCGGTAAATTTTGAGCGACGATTTTCGCTTGAATTTATAGCTCGAGTAGTCGTTTCAATAATTGAGTGATTTCGGATATTTTAATAATCGAGTAAAAACGACACGAGACTAAAATGACAAATGACATTATCAAAATTTTCAAAAAATTTACATATATATATTAAATAAAATGAGTAGTAAGTCCAAAAGACATGCATGCTTCTATAGATCTGCTAATATTGACTTAAGGTTAGGACTTTTTTAATGTTTATTAATACACCCAGGTATCTAAATATACCAAATGGAGGGTGGATTCAGTAAATATCCCTAAGAAGTTTATTTTGATGTGCAATTTCCTGTATACCAGAATATCCTGGGCAGTTTAAGTATAAAGGAGGCTATTAAATCAGAGTTAGGTAAGTACCATAGATACCTTTTTGGCCTATGGTAAGTAGGTACGGTTTTTATTTCATAAACAAGGTAGGTTATAAAATTGGGTAAAGTATTTATGGTCGAGTTATGATTTTTCAAATCAATTAGATTGATATTTGGAAGTTGAACTTCTGAAGTTCCATTCTTTCCATTTTATTGTCTGTTTTATTTTTCTTTAAGAGGAATCGGTTTATATTGATGGTTATTTGACAAAACCTAAATTTTACAGGAGAGATTTTTTTGTGTGGGAGTTTTATTTTTAAAGTTATTTATCTGAAAACTGGTGACACAAGGAGCCCGAACTTAATAGGGGAAATTGACAAAAACTGCCCTCAAATTTGTACAAATTAAGTTTCTATTTTTCACCACCAGCGGCGCTGATTGTCGATGCTAGCGTTTCGGTACAAATTAAACAATTGTTTCAGAATAAACGGAACACCAGCGCCCTCTTATCTTAGGAAGATTCTTGTTTACATGATGTTCGGACTCCTTGTGTAGGCTCCATGATCTAACCCATGGTACCATGATCTAACCGTTATAAATTTGAGTCAAATTATCAGTGGTGGCTCGTAGGTTCTGGAAGAGGGTGTGCATAAAAAACTTACCTACTAATTTTCATGCGAGAAACTGAATTGTTTCTTAGCCCTCTCTGCGATGTGTTTTAAATCATCTAACCCTTGTTTATTCCAAGCACCTAATTTTTTTTTTAAATTAAGTACTTTAAACAAAAAAGCTTATTGCTTACTGAACATCCGCATATCAACTCTATTGTAAGTTCAGCCTTTACCTGTGGAAGTGTGGTGTATTCGAAGATCGGGAATATGTTTTTCTTTTTTCTTAATTAAAAGTTTATCTTCAAGTGACATCGGGCTTTTTAAAAGATTTTGCACATTGCCATTATTGTTAATAAAAAATAAAGTTTATTTAAAAAACAAAACACGTAATTCACTTAAAACTTGCGCGGGTACAAAACAAACAAACAAACTGGCACAGATAACAGCTGAGCGGTTGAAGAGACACTGCGTTCGGTGCCCCAAATTGACGATATATTCGAGTACTGAGAGAATAACCGAAGATCACCGAATCATACTCGGCGGCGCGCGCTGAAGCGTTGCGGAAAGAAGGTTTAAATTCAACCTCTGAGCGGACGGAAGGAAGGTTTGACGGAGGAAAGGTTTGAGACCATCCCTAAATATATATAGTAATAACTGTCCGTTCAGGCTAAGTTGAGCGGTCTAAGGAATGTCACCCCGTCCATCATCTCTATGTTCAGGCACAATTAAATACATGTATTTCGGTAGCCGCTCTGTACGAACAAACGGCAAGCGTCGGCACCGATAAATCATCTTTTTGTCACCGAAATGTCGCGACGATTCGATGTTTAATTTAATTAACAGCCACATGATCCCCCACCAAAGCGCTCAACTTAGCCTGAAAGGACTGTACAATGGTGTTACGTATAACCAAATAATGCACAATGCAACAAATTTATTTTATTACTTTTTATCTGGGCGGTTGGGTGGGCACGTGCCCTTGTGCCCTTTAGAACCAGCCGCCACTGCAAATTATTTGACGCTAGAACAACATACAATTACTACAAAAAACATTTTTAACGAACCACACTACGTAAAAGAATTATAATTAGGATAACTATTAATAATGAAATGAAAAAAAGGAATTATAAGCTTTTGATCAAATAAAATATTGTTTTAAAACTTAGTAGCAATCACCACAATGCAGGTATACTCACGGATAAACTGTTTAGAGCGGGAATAACGCCTTGATAGATCAAGGCGGAAGCACAATATTATCGTATTATTAGCGACACAATGTTAAATCGCAAACGCCATGGCGACATGCATGTCTGCTTACGATTATTTGTCGGTAATATATATAGGCGCTTACGTTATAAATCGGTAACAAATTAAAAAGAAAAGGCGCTTACAATAATAAAAATATTCCAACTGACCAATATTAGATTCCAAAATTGGGATAGCTATTATGTTAACATGTGCATCTTATCGTAACTGACACTTTGATAAAATAAAAAGTAATTCAACAAAATTGTCGCTTACGATGTTTTGTCAAATAACCATCGATATGCGTATAATATATTACTTTTAACTATAATTAAAAGGTTTAATATTACAGCTGACTGCAGTTTCTTTTTCACTTTTCAGGTTTGTGGAAGTGCTAAATTTTCGGTTTATTTAAGCTATTTTAAATTAATTTTACCTTTGCCATTTCAGTTATTAACCTAAAGGGTACCTATAAATGTCAAATAATGGGGTTCAAATGTAGGCAAATCGAAAAACCCTAAAATATATGTAGAACAGGACTTCTCAACCAGTGGGGCACACCTCCTTAACCGTGCGTAAAGAGATCATTCACATTCTAAAGACAAATCCATTTGAAGGTTTATCTACTTATTAATTCATTCGGTCAAAATTAAAAGTGGGGGCATGAATATATCTTTTATACTCAAAGGATGCTCAACGGTTGATCCTTCCGGTCTATTTATTTAAAACTAATAAATGGAAATAAAATGTTTTTAGATTAAATAGTTTAAAAAAACATTGTTTATTTTTTCTCAGAAGTAGGTATACCTAAATTATAACATACATTATTCTAGGATTCCTGTGGAATAAACAAGCTTATTCACAAAATCGGCCACATCGAAAACATTAAGTTGGAGAATAAACTTTGCAGGTTAACCTGCACAGTTTACAATTCTATCCAGCAATGCTCTTAAAGTTTAATTATTATTAAAATCTAAGGCGTAAAACAAACAAATCAATTATTCATACATAATATGTTTATTAAATAAAATTAAAGTTCTTACATACAAACGTAAATTTGAGTTAATGAAGTTTTTATAGATTTGCAGGCAAACTAAAACAAACTTTCAATTTATAAAATCGACAATTACCATAACATAGAGTTATTTTCTATATGATATACATAGCTGGGTAACAACATACCATACAGTAACCGTCACGCTCGATCTACAAGCTTATAGTTTTGTCTAAAACTATTAGACATGGCGTAGGTTTCGTTATCATATGCACCTAAAGGTGATCGATTTCTGGATGATTCTGTGTTAATTTGTGAATTTTGTAGGTCTTTTTTGGATTCGTTTCGGTGATATACACGAGTACACATTAGGATTGTGCTGAGGAGAACTGCAAACTCTACCAGAACTATGATAAGGCCGGCCCCTAGAAATACCACATATTGTTCCTTATACCATTGATCCAAATACTCTTTGCAGCCCTAAAATAATATTATGTTATAAAATTTGGCGTTTTACATAGTGGTCGTAGGTAAATTAATATAATGGGGCATTTGGGACCTCCTTTTGAAAACATTTTGAAGCAATAAAAGCGGAAAGATTCTTATTTAAAATAATTTAAATAATACAACAAAGCTTCAAGCTGCATGGTTGCGCCAACTCTATCTATAGTCAAGCCACGTCAAGTGGGACCAGAAAATTTCACGAAATCACCGATTTTAAAAATAATCACATCATTGTGTAGTAGGCATGACGCATAGGTCACAGTAAAAAAATTGTTTTGAAATTCGCTTTTTTAGTAATGTTATTAAAGATAATAATTTTGTCAAACTTTAGAGCATGGTAAAATTGAAAAAATAGAATCTCTGGGTCCATTCTGTATAATTGAATTAAATTTTACACACTATTGTAGCAATGTTTAGACTATTGAATGATCATTTAATTAAGGTAAATTTGATTAAATAAAAGAATTTTGGATATATTTATTATAAACAATTGAAATTTTTTGTGTGTTCTTCACGCTGAAAAAAATCAATCATAATATGCGGAAAACGTTCCCGTTAAATAAAATGTACTCAAAAATTAGTCCTTCATAGGTCATTCCGGAGATATTAATTTTTTTCTCTTGCTGTGCGCTTGAGCAGTACGCAGCGCGCTTCGCTGCTAGCTCGTTAGCACAGCTTTCCGTTAGAACCGACGAGCTAGCAGCAAACAATTTTTTACTGTAACATATGAGTCATGCCTACTACACAATTATGTGATTATTTTCAAAATCGGTGATTTCGTGAAATTTTCTGGTCCCACTTGACGTGTCTTGACTTGACTCATAGGCAATATTCACCAATTACTGCAGTTTTATTTAGTCAACAACGATCCAGCTAACAAATTTACCTATTTTATTAAAAATAAAGAAAAAATATTGTGATAAATAAAAATTTTAGTACAATATTAGCGAATTAGAAATAAAATAAAAACGTTAAACCTTATAATTATAATTAACACTAAAGTAATGAAGAAACCACAAACATTCAATTATGGTATCTATTTTTTTAACAAACAAAATAAAAATTAAACATTTAAACACCGTTTAGAAGCTCGAGTCCAAAAAACTGTTATTTTTAGTATTTACCTCCAAATGTCTAAATCCTTCATGTCTGTTTCTTTCCAAAGCTTGGCATAATGTAATATTTATGGGATGTGGGTTAAGATATGCTCTGGTCTCGTTAATATTGTCTAATTTACAACAAGTTAATGGTATAGCTAGTGAAGGTCCAAGAGATTGTAATCTCCATAAGGAAGTATCGTATTCATTAGCTGATTCAATTCCACAGCAAGAAAACTGCAAAAAAATAGTCAAACAAGCATTTAAAATTGATTTTGTATTTGTATACCATGGTTTGTGCTAAATCAACTGCTGCAGTAAATTGCTCTTGACCTGTGGACCCATAATTCATTTGCAAAGTCTTTGTAGTTAAATCAGGGTCCAATCCTAAACCCAGACAGTCCGGCCACGCCCAGGCTGTAGCGTATACTACGCATTCACCCACGAGCACTAGTATTACGATAAAAAAATACTGAAAAATATTTATTAATAAAAGTTTATTTACTTATATGCTATAAACGGTTTTTAGAGGTAAATTTAAATAAAACACATACAAATCATAAAATTGGCTATGTTTTTGGCTTTATTGGAAAGATAATTTCATGCCATTTGTATTTATATTCAATTGACGTACGGTAGCCCAAACTGTTTTTTTAGCTTGGCTACAATGTATAAGCTTTCGGGCATATGGGCGCCGCTTTTTTTGAGTAGGATAAAACGTAATAAATGTTGGTTTCTAAGTGGTCTATCATCTGTGGTTTATCAGCGCAGCCTAGCTAGTCTACCACAGAAAAATATCCATATCACAGGGTGGTAAAGTATATGCATATATGAGCTCATCGAATGTTTTTGCAATAAATTGATTGTATCGCACGATGTGTGGGCATGTTGTGTCGTCTTATTCAAAACAAATCTTTTTAACACCATTTGATTAGAGAACAGAAAAATCAGTAATCACCATATTGCGCTCTCCATTAACTGCATAATGCATAACTAACATAATCTTTAAAATAACATTTTTTTCGGTCTCAATAGTGACTTTTGGATTATTTTCACTTCAAATTTTGTGATGGAAATGAGCAATATTGTTTTCGGTCCATTCACGAGCCAGCCTTATCTTTTCAATAAGGTCAATACCATGACCATTACGATGATTTGTGTGTGTATTATTTCATTTTAGTTTTATACACCCTTTATATGTAATTCTTACCGTTGTTAGAACACAATAGTTGTTCATGCATGATGCCCAGCAACCTAATACTCCTGCAGACGCTAGGATTAAACCTAGGATTGCTAAACCTATTGAAATGTAGTAAAGCAGGGGGTGAGTAAGGGCGGAGAATGGTCCTGCTGATAGAAATTTTGACAAAAGGACTCTATCGGAGTCGAAGAGGACTAGAATACCTCCGATTGCCAAGAAAAAACCGCAAACCTATAAAAAATAAAATAAGGCATTTTTAGTATTTGTATATGTCATAGTCAAAGACCGATATGTGGTCTCTTCGCAAAATATTCGAAATATTATTTGTTTTGCCGATTGCCTGATGTATTTTTAGTCAAACCTAGGAGTGACTAAAGTAGTTAAACGTCGAAATTAAAAAATATGAAATGAATTTCCTGTTATTTTGTAAAGTGGAAGTTTTTCCATTGTCTGCCCACACTTTGGTCCACAATGAGTCAAAAACACTTTAGGTACTAAAAAAACAATATTTCTAGTCATAATCTTCTTAATTTTATTGATATGCTATGTTACTGAATTCTCTTCAAATGAATAAATTCTACTGTTTGAATTAGAACCAGCATTTTTTACTAATAAAATAGTCGTTTTCACCTTTAAATAGTTATTTTTTACTACTTAAATAGTTAAAGTTTGACTAATTTAAGTTAAATGCATATAGGCTCCATGGTTCAATGGCCCATAAAAACAAAGATGCAAAAAGTTTAGCCCAACACAGCAACACAAAAAATATATTCAACTTTAGAATATTATGAGCAATATTTATAGTCAAACAAAATTGATTTTTATAAAAGTGACTAATAACGCATTGGTTATGACAACCGCTTGACAAGCGACGGACCTGAGTTCAAACCATAGATAATAAATGAAACCCCGGCTGGGTTAGAACTTTTATAGATTTAAATCTACTATTTGACTATTTTATTCAGTAGAATTTGACTAATTATTAGTGACTGCTTTTTCCATATGAGAATTAGTCAAATGTGACTTATATTTAAATAATTTTGAATAATTCATTTTAGGAGAGTAAGATTTAAACTTAAATTAAAGTTTGTTTGGTTCCAAAGTAAAAATGTTATTTTTTTGTCCAGGGTATTCTGATCTTTGTCTCATGTTTACAGGGCCGAGCCAACCCAGGGTGCAAAGGGTGCACTGCGCCCGGGTGGCAACTATCGAGGGGCGGCATATTAGAAAATATTTGTACAGAAAGTGACGGTAAACTTTTTAATATTGTAATTGATTCTGATCCAAGTGCATGGTCTACACCTTCATCTGACAAAATAAGGTTAATGCTAGTAGAAAAAGGTAACCTACTAAATAAGAAAACAACCTATCCCAAAGACGCTAGCACTAGAAGTTTTTAAAATGGATATTTTTTACAAACTTTTTTACAAACCAAATGGTGAATCCGTTTAACGCACTTGGATATTCTAAAAAATATACTCTGTGTTTTGTTTCCCATGTAAGTTATTTGGCCGGATTTAGGACAGGGCCAGCGGGGCCACGGCCCCAGGGCCCCCACCATTTAGGGGCCCCCACCAATGCAATATGTAGCTTTTTAATGAAACGAATATGAAAAAAATTAGCGAAAAAACAAAAAATTGGGTCGGTTATACCGCGCGATATTCTGTAATTTTCAATTAATTTTTCGTAGATCTAACTCTAATTTTTCGCGGATTTTTTATCGCTTATCCGTTCGCAAATCAGGATGTAATGACTCAAAACAATTGCTCCTTTAGTGCTTTTCGTAACGTTTTTGAAAAAACAGGCAAACAGTCAATTACTTATAATCTAATATTAAAGTTTTTGTCCCAGATTTTTATTGGTACATTGGAGTGTTGTGGAATATTTTCCGGTGTTTCCGAAATAATGTTTCGTGCTTTTCTTTGGACAAAACATTGTTTTATTATTAATGATTTTGTATGAAAAACAGACAAATAATACGACTTTTGATGCACTTTTTTTCAGTTTGCGGTAAGATTAAAAATACAAACAAAACATAGATCAATTTATATTTTACTTGAGTATTGTTCGTATTATTCAAAATATATAAAATATAAAGTAGGTATATAAAAACACTTTCATTCACAATTCTATTCTACTATCTACGTTTTTATAGTTTTGCATACGAATTAATAATTTCTCAGACTTGGGTAAAATGTATATGGTTATGTTCGTATTATTCAAAATATACAGGGTGATTCAGACTTGTGGTGACAAAAGCTCAGGGGAAATTCCTCTCATCAATATATGAAAAAAGTTCCTATAAACACGTGTCTGAAAATGCTTTATTATCGAGATACAGGGTTTTTCGTTTAAAAAAAATTAGTTTTTTATTTATAGCTTAAAAACGCTTTGGCCGATTTTATTAAAAATTTATATGGTTTATTAAATATTAAATGATTCAAGGATAATAAAAAATCACGTAAAGTTCCTCTAGCTTAAAAATTTACCATGAGTTTTAAAGTGTCAATTTTTTAAAAATATTGAGGGCCCCCACCAAATGTCGGCCCCAGGGCCTCAAAACTCTTAATCCGGCCCTGTATTTGGGAATGCATCGTGTTTGTCCTATTGTGTATTAGTCCTTCGGAGGGGACTTTAAGCCCGCGGTCCGTTCCTACCCCTAACCCGCACAAGCCATTCAGTTGGCTTATGGGACTTCTTAAGAAGTAAGGGTGGAACTAAAAGAGCACTTTTATATATAAACTTTTATATCTAGTTCTTTGGGGCTAGATGGATTTCGAGATTGGCAACATTTATCGCGAACCTTAAGCCGACATGAAAGTTCTAATGATCATATTAGATGTTGCAACAACATGATTCATTAACAAACTTTGTAACGAACGGGGGCAAGGGGGGCACACATTTAATAATTAAAAAGAATATTAAAACCACAAAAAACTACCTTTGGCCAAAACACGTGATCGTCTAGTTTAAAGAAATTAAGTTAGGACCCCTTTTTGTTGTGAATACGGTTCTGGATACGTAAGTACTTGAGCAATTGAAAAGATATTTCAAAAAGCAAAGAAAAAGTATTAAATTAAAATAAGTTTATTAATAAAAACAATTAATACAAGAGTTAATTATTCTTGCTACTGTACATTAATAATATAAATAAAAACATTTGTATTTGAAAAGTATTATTGATTTAAGTTAATAAGGTTAAACCTTAAAAACCCACATATACAATCCAGACATGCATATGTGTCGCACATCTAAACAATATAAATAATATAACAAAATCAAGGTAATCAAGTAATCAAATATAATATCATCAATCATATTATCATATTGTTAAGATTATTCACCTACATAAATGTTAGGCTCGGACGGTGTTTAAATAGCAAATACAAATTGGAACTATTATCAATGTACAGCAACAAACAAAAACAATGTGTAAAATAAAATAGCATGTAACTTAAGTCACAGAGAACATAATAAATAGTAGTGGCGAATAATATATATAAATAACAAGTGGTATTGCGGTGGACAACCGTAATGCAATAATATTTGTGTACAGTCATAAATAATAAATACATTTAGATGTATAAAGTCATAAAATATCAATAAAACATTTTAAGTTCGTAAAATATAAAATATAATAGTTTGAAGAATGGTAGCGTAAAAGAATGATCAAAGTAAATAAAAACTGAGACTATGAGACAAAACTTAGCCCTAACTCAATTCACTTTCGGACGGCCCTCGTATACTCGTGCACATGCACATGCCTCTTTCATTACAAACATCATATGTTCATACTTCATAGCTAAATTGGCCAACAACAATATAATAAAACATATTTTGTTAATAAATTAAGGGGCTAAGACTCAGCGCACATCATAGTGTCTACTCCCTTAGTAGGTCCCCAAAGATCGATTAACAAAATTAAATAAATAGCAAGATCGCGAAACACACAACGAAATAAATGTATTATACATCCTAGGACCAACCATACATGGCTCAGGATTGACAACAAAGTCTCAACATATTAAATAAAGAATATCAATTTATCGAATAAACAAAATAATGTAAACTGTACAAAACAAAGTATGTTAAAGTTAAATAGAAATATGTAATAACATGATACATTGCATTACAATATAACAATAATAAAATGTGAATATTTAAATGGTAAACATAAAATAATGATTATAATAAATAAGTAATTAAGTTTGTCCAACCACAACCCAAAATATACTTCTTTCGCGAAGAAGAAAATAAAATAAACAAATAAAATATAGTTTAAATTAAATATGAAATAATTAACCACTTATTATGATATTTGTGACTCTAAGTTATTATAAATAATTATAGAAAAGACATACCTATATAAATAAACAACACTTTCACAAAACTGAATTTATATAAATTAATTTATTATTGGCTAAATTCACTCCCTTATAAAATTTAAGAATTCAACTCGTCCCTTCAAAGAGTAAAACGTAACTGCCTGAAATATACTGTCCTCTCAAAGTTTTTAACACGCTCTTTTTATGTTTATTTTTTCAAGACTAGCAACATGAACCAAAACTTGCTTATTTTCTTTCTGTAACGAACCCTTAAGTGGTTGTCCAGATGGGAGTCATAAATTATTATTGCATAATAAACAAATAAAGAATGTATGGAATTCTAGAGTGAACACCTAATACAATTTTAAAAACAAATATTTAAAATTAGTCTCATATTTCGTAAAGCATTAAAATAATAAATTAAGAAATGTTAAAAATTAACTGGCCCATATATCGTGCCCATTACAGACGCCCCTTTGAAAGGTTGTCAAATGACATAAGGAGGCTTGTCAAGCTTTTAACATCCCTAAACTTATTTAACTAAACCTAAATACGACCCTGTCCTCCATTTCATATTGGGCTGAGTACGCCCCTGCTCACTACTGGCTTTTGGGCTGGGTGCGCCCCTGCTCTGTGCACCTCCACATTTATACGTCATCACATAGGTATATCACGGCTCCCATCAAATACATTTGCAATACATAAAAAATAAAAGAAATACTAATCAGAAAATAAAATTGAAATAAATAAACATTGTCAAAAGAATAAACAATACAAATCAAACGTCAACTTAAAATGTCATTGGTTAATAGTGTTAATAATGTTATTGAGTTAATTGGTCAGTACATAAGTCAAAAAAAATGTTCAAAACAACAATTAATATTAAAAAAAAAAAATATAAAATAA